GCAACAGAAACCTGTCGATGAATATTCGTAAGAAGGTCCTGAAATGTTATGTGTGGTCGATCCTATTGTATGGTTGTGAGACATGGACGTTAAAAACCATAATGCTAAACAAGTTAGAAGCATTCGAATTGTGGTGTATAGACGAATCCTAAAGATATCGTGGGTTTCGCACACTTCCAATGAAGATGTTCTTCAAATGATCAATTCAGAACGTCTGCTCATAAACACATAAAGAGGAGAAAAACAGAATACTTCGGCCATATAATTAGAGGACCTAAATACCATTTACTTCGCCTTATAATACAAGGAAAAGTGGAAGGAAAGAGATGGATTGGTCGAAAGAAATTTTCATGGCTGCGTAATATTAGACAATGTGTGTGGTTCCACAGTAGAAGAATTATTTCGCGCAGCAGGCCGACAGAGAAAGGTTTCAGGAAATTGTAAACATGATGACGGCCAACGACTGAATACGGACACGGCACCCAAAGAAGAAGAAGAAGTGACTATTTGTTAGGTTAGGTGAGGTTGAATTATTACAGGCACAAATACTTTTCCATGAAAATTTATTATAAACTTTGCTTGGATATGCATATTTGAAAGTACTTAAGTAAGAGGGAAAAAGGGCCATTATTCAGTATAAAATTGTTAAAATACAAGTAAAAATAGTTGTTATGAGTTTCATTCCATTCTCAAGTAGTAATTACCTCTTTAGAACTAGTCAGAAATGGATTGTTGAGTACAAAATATATGTACAAATAGCATTGCAGCAAAGAAATGAAAATTGTCTACATTTGATACAAGTAAGTTAGCCGTTAGATTAATTTTAAAAGCTTTTAAATTATATTTTTCAAGTGAACATCCGTATGTTCTTTATAAAACTATAAACTAATACATTTAATATAAACAAGCTCACATTTCAGTGTTTTTAAATATTAATAAGTTTATAAAACGATATCAATCAGGTATGAATGGTGTATGTGAGCAGTTTAGGATTTTTTTCCGGAATGAGGTTGAGTAGTGTAACACTCAAAGCGAATACGAGGTTTGGCAAACAAATATGAATTTTGCTCAATAATAAAATACCTTTCTAGGTGTCTCCCTATTCTATGTAATTGCCAATCAATCAAATAACGATAAAAAATAAAAAAGCACAGCTCTCTTTATCACAAATGCTTTTCATCTAAATACGGTTCTGAGTTTCATTCAGAATCGTCTGTTGGCCAATGGGAAAATGTTACGTGAATGCACTATTATACAACTTTTTATTATTTGTGTGAAAAATAGATATACAACTATATTGCTGTTCCATATCAATCACATTATACATTGAAAAAGCTCTGTCATTGTTATTTTAAATTCTCGTAGAGAATTTTGTACATTTTTTAAAAAGTATCTAGCAATTGACGAAAAGCGCTATCTATTAGATTTAAATTTACTCCTAAACCGTTACAAAATTAATAAAAAGGCAAAATAACCTTTATATCTAATAATAAGTCTAAAAATGTGAAAATACATTTTGATCACATGTATTTTTTTGTTCTATGGACTGTATTAGGTTATGCATGACTTTCCAGGACAGAGCTTTGCTTGTAGAACTCAATAAACAGTTCTGAGGACATATATGCCAGACTTCCTCTATTTTGTAAGTCTATTAGAACCTTTCAGACAATAATTAATACATCTACATATCAGGAATTGTCCTGTTTTTGTGAAAGGTGTCGATATGATCACTGTCTACTATGTTCATCTTTTGGAAATGTAATTACAAGATATTGGCAAAATAATGAATCAAAAACAAACTAAAACGTCCATTGTACACTCAATCAGTCCACTAGACAGTTCTGTAAATGTAAGGATCCTACTTCTTCTCATAGTATCTTTTAGTATTTGCCTCCATTTAGGATTCGCTGGGAATTCATCTTTTAACATTTTACAACCATTTCTGCGTCTGTCGACGCAGTAATTCTTCTTCTAACTCTATCAGACTCTTTGGAATAGCATGGTTTATCCACACTTTAGAATTTGTTTCGATAGCTTCGATATTTTTATTACAGATGCAATTCAAGCAAACAATGATCATTGAGATTCACTAAACAGTTCTGGATACACAGATGACATACTGCCCTTCTTTTCAAGTCTATCAGATCCTTTTAATTTATCTTAAATCTATCCTCACTTTAGAATTTAATTTTTCTCTGTTTTCTTTTTCTTTTGTGTGAGGAACAATTTGATCATGCTTAGTGTTCTAAAGATAAAATTAACCTTCACTGTCCACTGGGGTTGATCAGTCCACGGAACAGTGCTGGTCATACAGATGCCATACTAGTTCTCTATACACGCCTATCAGACCCTTTAGGATCGCCTGGACTATCTACAATTGAGAATTTGTTTAGAGGTCTAAGAATTTTTATTAGAGAAGCATCAAAAGTATACTTAAGTTCCTTTGTTCACTCAACAAATCCACTGGACTGGACTGCTCATACATAAGGTGACATTGGTCCTCTTACACGCCTACCAGATAACTTAAGCTTCGCTATTATTACAGAAGCAGAATGGATTGTGCCACTGCTTGCAGTAATAGCAAACTTATTGTCTCCTGTCATCTCAATCAGTATACTAAACAGTTCTAGATATACCAATGTCATGATCATTCTCTTTACAAGATTTTGGTCGTTTATGATCTATTGATAATTCAACATTTGTTTTACAGGTTTATTATTTTGATTACAGAAGCGAACATTCCAGAAGCAAAGCAAATTTAAAGTCTCCTATGTATTCAATTAGTCCATTAAACAATTCTCAATACATATCTGCCATCTTTGCAAGTCTGCCGGACCCTTTAAACTTTCTTGGTATATCTAAACTGCAATATTTCTTCATCAGTTGTCTTCAACAAGTCCATCACTTGTAAATTACGGATTAATAGTAAGTTAAACTTGAAGCTGAAGTTAAAATTTACCCAGAAACGGTTAACTTCAGGATATAGACCCCCTCTCTTTTCGTGACATTTGATCACACTGCTTACTCCCTACTTAGACTCACCTAATTAAAGAAAACAGCCACCAAAAAGCCCTGGCTTAACCTCAACATGTCCATAGATAACAAGTTTCGTGTAAAATCTGTAAGCGACCAAAAAAATTTTCACATATTGATAAAAATTTCCTAAAATTACCTAATTTGGAATATACTAAACAGTTTTTCATATTCAGTCTTAAAAATTTTGAGATAATTTAACTAAAAGATCTACAAAAACAAGTATTAATAATGAATTATATAGGGTGTGCCACCTACAGCAGAAACGATAAATCGTACTGAAACTCCTTTGGTACAAAAAGAAATATCAGTAGCTACTTCAAATCAAAATTGTTTAAATATATGCAGAGATGCCAAAATAAGAGAAACATAAAATTATATATTTCTACTAACAGAATATAACTTACACACCATGTAATAAATGTTAAGTTATTTTGGGACATCTTGTACAGTTGCGGTCACGGAATAGTTTACACCTTACTTTTTAATTGTAATACCACCGAACAAACCCGAAGGTGCACTCCGATAAATTTACATTGGTAGCTGTCAGACAAATTCGGTGACCTTGCGCCATTTTTTTAGTGTACAATTACAGTGTTTACGATTGCACAAAATCAAATTATTAGCGAAACAAATAGTGATCTAACCTAACAACAAACACAAAATGATCTGTCAACGACGTGACTGTGAACTTAAAATATGGCCGCTGACCTGCGCAAACCAGATGCGCGAACAATTACCGCCGAGTCGAGTGCACCTTCGGGTTGTTCGGTGGTAATACTGTAAAATTGCAGTGTCGTACGGATTTGATAAATGTCAAAGTCAAAAAATTTCAAAACGTCAATGCTTTCGCGAGTGTTCAACAATAAAATAAAAGTATATTAAACTCTTCCAAAATGGTTAGAATACATTTGAATTATGCGCAAAAAGCAAGAGCAATTGCCAAACTCGAAGAAGGTTGGTCACTAAGGCAAGTTGCTGCTGATTTGAACGTGAGTCATATGTGCATATGGAAGATTAAACAAAGATGGGATAATTTTCACTCTATAGCACGGTTGGGCGGTTCAGGAGGGCAGAAGATTTCCACAGATCAACAGGATGAGATGTTAGTAGATTATTTGAGAGAATCTCCTTTTGCCACAGCTCAAAAGGCAAGAGAAGAGGCAGCGTTTCCAGGCAGTATTCGCACTGCACGTCGAAGAATTAAAGCAAGTGGACTGCTAAATTGTGTAGCTGCACGGAAACCTTTTTTGACTGAGGATCACAAGAGGAGACGAGTTGAATTTTGTAATGAATTTATAAACCGCGATGAGAATTTTTGGTCTAGGGTTGTATTTTCCGATGAAAAAAGTATTTCAGTCGTATAATAATGGTCGAATAAGAGTTTATAGGCCGAGAAATCATAGGTATGATGAACAGTATACGCATCATTTAAGAAATAGTGGAGGATTCTCTGTCAACGTATGGGGATGGATAAGTGCCGAAGGCCCGGGCGTTTGTTATCATGTAGAGGAGAAGTTAACAGGATTATATTACAAACATATTATTGAGCCCAATGTGCCATCGTGATCAGAGTTCCCAACAACGACTTTATCTTCCAACATGACAATTGCCCGGTGCATACGAGTAGAATTGTTCGAGAATGGCTAGAAGAAACTGATGTTAATGTTCTTCCGTGGCCTTCCCGTAGTGCAGACTTTAACCCCGTCGAAAATGTGTGGGCAGAGTTAACAAAGAAACTAAATGAAAGAAACCTTAGACCACGGAATAGAATTGAATTATGGGAAGCAATTGAGCAGGCATGGGAAGAGCTTGTTAACTATAACATGAGGGGATTGGTGCTATCTATGAACAGAAGACTGCAAAATTGTATTGACAAGAATGGGGCTTCCACCAAATATTAATTATTATTTATCATTGTTTATCGTTATTTAATATAAAATAGATTTAAAATAAAATGCATATTAAAAAAAAAGACTTCTTTATTTTCGTTATTAAGATCATAATCCATTTTATTCAAAAAACTGTTTTCTATATTTTTCATTTTGTAAAATATTTTGATATTTTAATTTTAATCTACCTATTCTAGCTAGTACACACCACTGGCAACGTCACTTTGACGTAAAAGGTGCGTTTAAACGAAGTAAAAATTAAAAAATGGGCTCCTAGATACGTGAACCTGTAAACTTTCCGTGACGCAACTTAATCTCTCTGTAGGGCTGCCACCAGAGGAATCGTTAATATCAACATCTATTTATGCAGCAAATTACTTTCTGCTGAGTGTGATACATCCTGTATAAACAGAGTGGCCCGTTGAAAACAGTTCGATACTTTTATCGATACCGACATCTGCCATTTGTCAACGCCTCCTCTTGTAGTTTCACAACCCTTATTTTTAAATATAGAATATACCATGTGTGTTTTGGTATTAGGTTGTTATATCATGATATACCATATTATAAAATGTGTGGTCTATCACTACAGAGGCTATTGAATGCAGTATTTACCATGGAGATCCAGGATTTTTTTCCATATTAAATTAAGTGAAAGTGTTACACCTTTTAAAAACTAAATTTAACGCCTATGTTTGGCTAAAATATTAAATTTTTTCCATTACTTCAACAACTGCTTTAAAACGAATTTTGAAAAAGTTTGTAAGTAGTCATTTGAACGATTGATAATGTGGTACTAATTTAGTATAGATTTTTTAAATCTAAAAATTGAGATTGTTTCCATATTAGTTAAAAACTGGAAATGACTTCATATTGACTGTGAAATGGCTTCAATTGACTTAATTGTTTTTACGGTATGTCTACTAGTTCTTGCAAAATTCGTTTTAAGACAATTTATGATACGATGGAAAATATTTGACACATTAGCGACACATAGGCGTTACGTTAAATTTTTTAAAAGGTGTAACAATTTTAAAAAATTAATACTTGTCGCAAAAATTGAGACAAAATCGATCTGCTTCGAGCAAATATAAGAATCGACTGTTTTCTTTGGCCCACTTTAAAAACTAATTTATGTTGAAATGAGCATTTCTAATATAGAGAGTCTAAAAACAGATTGAGTATTGATACAAAAAAAAAGATATCTTTAAAAAGTGTAACCATCTATAGAAAATATGTACATCTAAGTAAATACGAAAAGATCGTTTGCTAATTCTGAAAACGAAAGCAGTCCGATTAAGAAGGCTCATGGCATTTGAAGAAAGACTTAAGTAAATCCGGGATCCAGCGGGTTTTCTTCTACCTTGTCCACAAATTTGTTGGAAAAATAGCATTAAAACAAGACAAACATTGTAAACAAATTATTAACAAGTTACATTTCTGATTTTGAATTAACTGCAGTGTGGACAAAATTCCGAAAGTATCATTAATGCGTTTTAAGAAAATAAACTTCAGAAGAATATCACAATTTAGCGTGCAGTATATAAAAACTGCAATAAAGGTGCCAGGATGATAATCCACACGGACCATATTGTTTCTTATAGATGGGTTACACTTTTTAACAAATTTGATCATCAATATAGACTAAGCGGACATCGAACAGTTGTTCAATGCAACTTTTTTATTATCAAACTAGATCCCAAGTGGATAAAATGGGATCGGAACACAACTTCATGACGACGGAAGCATTTATTGCCTTCTTTTCGGCTGCCAGGCAAGTTCCTGCTGCCAGATTGTAAATAGGTGTTTCTTTCTGAGAAAAAAAAGGATGATTAGATGATATGTATGGCACAAATAATACAAAAACTGTCACTTATTACGCTTATTAAAAGTTTTAAAGTCGCATATTCCCCTGAAACTATAAATATCAAGCTGCCGCGCTGAACTCTGAATTTCCATTTCATTTCTATCCAAAAGACAAGGAAAGAGCAGGTAACCAGCTTTACTGTGAGGTATACTTCTTGGTTGTTTTTTTATCAAATAGGTTTCCTAATTCAGTAATATTTTGAGTCCAGTTTTCAACACTGTCTCACCCAATCTTTAATTTAAATATTGTTTTTAGTTACAAATATTGCTTTAGAGGTCTTTTACGATTATATATGTTTTTCGTTCAGTATTCAACATAATCTTCCCCTATGCAGTTTTAGTTCAGCATTTTAATGCATTCCTTGCATCCTCCATCTTTCCAGAACCATCATTCTATCCGTAACTTACCCGAATTTTACAATATAGATAATCTTTTACTTACCCCTCCTTTGTGCTTCCATTCTTGATCTCCTCCCATTTCGTGGCATTTGTACAGAATGGGAGCTGATTTACCGTACTGGAGGCAGAGTAACTGAGCCAAAACTAGTTCATTCTTGTCTGTTTCGTACCACATCTGGTTCTTAGTACGTAAGCAACGTCTACAAAATATATTTTTATAGCATATTTCAAAGTTCGTAATATGGCAGGCTGGATTCCGAGACAACATTTTAATACCATAGACTTACTTGCACACCCGATCTAAGAAACACTGATAGGACAAACTGGCACCGAGTTAAATGTTCCAATTTCATTATGGCGTTTGTCGTCGCAATTTCCACATAGCATTCGATTCCATCGAAATTATTGTGGCAGTGCCTTGAATCTCTTAGAAATTTGGCACGCGATAGATTCAAGATACATTAACATTAATTAAAACACATATATGGAAAATGCCACCATGCCATATAAAGCTGGGACGGAAAGCCACCAATAAACTATCCATAAGACTACAACAGGGGAGAAAGACAAGGGAGACCCATCTCTCCCAACACTCTTTACCCTTGCTCTAGAGATACTATTTGTGACTCTGGAACGGAACAATACGGATCAACTCGAATTATTCAGGTCTAAGTAACCATTCGCTGCGGTACACTGCAACGCCACTTACACTATGCGTTTTGATTAACTGGTCTAAGTAAATTCGAAACGGAGCTATGACGCCAAGATATATAGCGCCGGCAATATGGCGTCATAAGCAATGAGATGGGTGTTAAAACCATTTGATGATTCGCAGTATGACATCGTTTTAATAGAGCGATCAAAATCCAAGGACTCAATGATATTGTTCACACCAATTAAAATGCAGTTTCAGGAGCGGTCGGCTTAAAGATGAATTATCAGCAAAACAAAAATACTGAGCCGAGAGACCAGAACAATATAACCAATACCAAAATCATTACCATAGAAAATGATGGACATTATGGCTATTCTAGGTCATGTTATCAAACCTAGGAAAACCAAATCAAGATGCTGAAATTAAAAGAAGAACACAACTGGCTTGGGGCGCTTTCGGCAAACTAGCACATATCTTGAAAAACACCTCCATTCTATAAACTTAAAGAAAAAGGTGTTTAACATCATGCATACTACCTGTTTGTACTACGCTTGGTGACAGTAGCACTTACAAAAAATCTGCCAAAAATTAGAAACAACGCAAAGAGCCAATGCGAAGAATATGCTTGGAATTCACTAAGAGACAAGATTAGAAACTCCGAGATAAGACGTAGAACGAAGATTAGGGATATTGTGAAGAAAATTACAAAAATGAAATGGCGCTGGGCAGGTCACGTTAGCCCGATATAATGACAACAGGTGGACAACGGAGAATTCTAGAATGGAGACCAAGGACAGACAACAAGAAGCATGGGAAGACTGCAAAAAAGATGGTAGATGACATAAGAGCAGTGGCAGGCAAACAGTGGATTAGATTGGTTTAGGGTAGTTGTAACTCAAAATCTAATTCTTTCAAGATTTTTTTATCTTGCTCTGCAAAGCAGGCACCTACAGCTTTAATCACCTCTTTGTTCGACGATACTATACGATATTTTAGACTTTACAGTCGAGGAAAGATACGACAGTCAGATTAAGTCAGATTGGGTGAACAATGGGGATGTTCGAGTAAAGTACTGTTGGACAACTTTCCACGTCTTCTTTTTGTGAAGAGAAGACGCAGAGAGTGTGGAGAATCTGTAAAAAGAATCTTAAGTTTTCTGAAAAGGAAAATAAGTTTATCTTTATTATTATCAAGATTATCTTTAACGCGGAATTAAATGAATATTGTTTATTAGGAAAGAGCACCCTTAACACACACTTATATAAAATTCAACCCCAATTGTAATCATAAACGTAAAAATGTAATTTTTATTACAATTAAAAAATGTGGTTTAATCCCAATTAAATACAATATTTGTCTTTTTTTAGATGTGGAGTGGTATTCCAAAGGTGTTACACCGGCTCTAGAAAAAAATGGAAATTGGAAACACTTTCTTTTATCCCTGAGTGTTACGGCTTATTTTCAAGATGTATGCTCCAAGTAGTGCCGGATGCGACGTTGCTTACGCGTGTATTGGATACGAAATAAAGATAAAAAATATGTTAAATATGTACATGTTTTATAGTAATTCACTTACCTCAACACCAAAGAACTTCCTTTAGTTTTATCTTTCTCGCTCTGTACGCACAAACTACTATTATGCAGTCTTATCTCATATTGATCGACGTAGTTTCGTTTCCTTAAATGCCAAGGCTGGAACGAGTCTCTCTCCAAGGCTGACCATTTCTTTCTCAACCGTTCGCCATCTTCGCTCGGCAGAGGAAGCTCGGGATACACGTGTTTTAGATACCAGTCGAAATCGTAGCAGTTCAGTTCTTTACGAAGCTGTAGTCGAGATGAGATGTCGCCGTAATCGACGTTTTTGGAATCCGAACGTTGTTTCAAGAAGAAATCCTGAGAAAATTTAAGGATATAGCATTTTTATTCCAAGAAATGCTGTATTGAAGATAACATAAACTAATATAGTCAAAAACTAATTAAAAACCAGTAACCTAGATCAATAAACTAACAACTTTATCAGATGAACAACAGGGAATTCAGATTCGGGCGATCCTGCGTAGACGCCGTATTTGTACTAAGACAAATCACAGAAAAGGCCATCAAGTACAATAAATCAGCATATCTATGTTTAATAGACCTGACAAAGGCTTTCGATCGCATCCAAGTCGAAGACGTCTTACACCTACTGTATAAAAGAAATATACCAATCAATATTATACTAACCATCTTAAACATATACTTCCATAATCGAATACACGCAAAGATAAATGGAAAACTAATACAGTGTATACCATTACAAAGCGGAGTCAGACAGGGTGACTCGTAAACCCCACTTCTCTTTAATACAATAATGGACGAAATAATACAAAAAGTAGGTAAAAGTCATGGTTACAGAATGAGGAACAAAGAAACCAAATATTATCTTATGTAGACGACGCCACATTAATCGCCGAGACAGAAGACGAGCTCCAAAGATTAACACACATCTTCAATACAATAGCCAAGAAATACAATATGATAATATCAGCAGAAAAAGCCAAATGTATGACAACATCTAAATAGCCACTACAATGTAAAATCGAAATTGATGGGAAAATAATAGAAGCAAGGTTTGGATATCTGGGAATAGATATAACTAGTTACAGATATATTGAAGAAGAAGTACGACAAAAAAGCTTAAAAGCAAGTAAAGCGACGGGATCTCTTAATGACACAATCTAGAAGAACAAACACCTAAACAAGACAAAAACAAGAATTTAGAAAGCAGCAATTAGACCTATATTAACATACACGGCGGAGACAAGACCTGACACATCTAAAACAAGTCGATTACTACAAACAACAAAGATGAAAATACTCAGACGAATATCAGGCAAAAGTCTGTTGGATAGGGAGAGAATCGAAAACATAAGAAGAGCATGCAATATAGAAGACATAAATGGATGAGTGACAAAACGGAAACAGGAGTGGATGGAACACATTAGTAGAATTGCAGAGGATAGGATAGTAGGAATAGCATGAGATAAGTCACCAAATGGACGAAGAAGTATTGACAGACTAAAGAAAAAGGTGGTGCAATAATTTAAACAAATTGGGAGGCTAATATTTACGAAGAAATAGGCTTTAAAGCTTACATATAAGAAGGAAGAGAAGACCTAGATCAGCTGGAGCTCTTGGATACATTAAGTTTAACTGTTTTTCTACAACAGGGGGCAGTAAACGTGTTAGGAGATCACGTCAGTAAAATTCATACATGTTTCTCCATAAATATGTCAGCAAAATCCATTCGAGTCAGTTAGTCCTTAATGATGAGCTATTTTTACACTGAACAGAAAACTGTTTTAAGTGATAGTAAACAAGGAGAAAATCATCATAATGGTATATAATGTTTAAAAGATGAAGAAATGATATGAAGAAAAATAAAAATCTCAAAGATAAACACGAAGGGAAAATTATATATTTAAGATAAACAAAATATTGACCACCAATATAAAATAACGATCAAGAATCTAATTTTCAAAACAAAAATATAAATAAAAAGTGACCTTACCTTGTAATTGTCCATCCATACATGAGCAACTCTTAACGAATTATGCAGCATAGTATCCTTCCCATCGGGTGATCCATAGGGCCTCCTGTGCCTAAAAATATGACCAACTCTACTGCATGGTATTAACTCCAATGACCCCCCGCACATCCATATCTACATTAATAAAAATGGAAGATTATTTTGGAAACTTAATATGCCCGTGTATGAAACTCACCCTAAATGATATTTCTAGATTCTCTCCTCCCCATATGTCCATACCAGCGTCATATTCGCCAATATCGATGAAGTAGTTCTTGTCAATCGCAAATAGACCGCCAGCCATTGTAGGGGATTTTATCGGTTTGACGAAATCCTCTTTTGTTTGTAAAGTACCTAGAAATACAAGAAAATACTTTCAGAGTGGCCCAATCCCATTTAAACCTGACATCACAATATTAAAATATCAGTTTTAGATCAATAAATAGTCAATTTAAGTTATTATTGGGAAACAAGCTAATAAAAACATGTAAGACTTTAAAAATGCCATTTAATGTAACATTAATATATCATACTTAGTACTTAAGAGTTTCCTGAGCAAAAGAGGTATGATATTACAGCGAGACTCAACACAATATGGGTACACACTTTTATATAACCAATTGATATCAAGTTTGGAGATTTTCAAGTGGAACTAGATACAGACAAAAAAAACAATAAAATTTTCTTACCTGTGGGCAAATTTTCCCATTTAAAATGCAATCCCCAGTTGAAACCGCCTCTAACAAGAGGACTACCAGAATAGTTAAATGTATCTGGATTTATAATATCAATTATTGGCATTACCACATTTGATCGTTTTTCTTTGATTCGAGAAAGAAGAGGCTCTATCCATCCATTGTTTACCTCTATGTGACTGTCCAAAAAAATAAGAACCTTAAAAGTAACACTGATTTATTTATTTATTTATAATAGCACATGGGGGTGGTTTGATTCATGATTTATTGTAAAACTGCATCCTCCAAGCAATTTACAGGCACTTCAGTAGGTTTAATGCAAACAGATCAAAGCAAAATGTTTATATCAAACACCAGTCAAACAGTTGTTGCATATCAAAATCAATAATAAAAAGAGCATGAATCAGCCCAAAGAGGTACAAAACACCAATCAACAAATGTCTTTTGACATATTGCTCACAACTGATGGTCCATTTTTAAACCAATTAACAGCCCTTTCATGGAAGCTCATTCTGGACTACAGACTAAATGAATATTAAATACAATACAATCATCATCATTATTGGCTCCACAAACCATTGTGGGTCTTGGCCTGCTCAAGGATAAGTCTCCATTCTCTCATATTCTTTGCCTTGGTTTTCCAGTTTCATACTAACTATTCTTTCTCATCTTCTCATTCTTTTGCATCTATTCTTTGGTTATAAATATGTTTTGGTGGCTCCATCTCATTCTTTCTCTCACTGCAGCTGGTTTATTTTGATGGACCTAATATCAGGTTTGTCATACAGGCAGTTAAGTTCAAAATTATAGCTTCTACACCATAATCTGCCCTCCTGTACTCCTCCATAGATATGCCAGAGAAAATCCTCCGGCAAATACAATACAATAAGAATTATATAATAATTTAGGATTACTCAGTAGAGACTAAAGTCATAGACGATTTTGGCTATTTCAGAGAAGAAATGCATTTTAATCTCTTAATAATATACTCAGTAGTAAAAAATTAGGATATAGCACTACAAAAAGTCCATAAAAGAACATCAAGGACAATTCTAGGATTCAAGAAACCATGAATACAATCACAAAAGCTTACTAATGAGCAAATTTGAATAAATGCCTCAAAAAATGGACTCCATTTACCAACTATTAAGCTAAGAAGCCAGTTAAATGTCAAAAATCTTTAATGAGATAAACAAAAACATTGAAAATTTCCTTAATTATTGCTATTTAAAGTTTTACCTGTCCTTGAGCTTTCCTAGCACCAACCAATCTAGCTCTGATTAACCCTTCTCTTCTATCAGTCTTAAACAACTTGACTTTTTTCAAATTATTCTTTTTTATATACTCATCTAAATCTTGATGTAAATTTTCAATGTCACTTTCATCATCTATAAGCACTATTTCCTCTAACAATTTATCAGGTGTCCTGTTGAGTATGGAATAAATTGTTCTGAGAAGTGTTCTAAAATGTTCATTGTAAAAGCAAACAATTATGCTGGCTTTTGGAAGATTGTCAGGATAAACTTTCTCTTTACACCTAAAAACCAAGTAAAACATGTTAAATTTGATATAAATTGGAAAAGTAGATGAAGAAAATTATTCAAACGGAAACTTAATAAGAATAGTTGATATCAAATAAATAAACAAATATACTGAATTCCTTGCAAAATAAGACTAACAGTTGGTTCCTTGTATCTGGAATGCTTCTATTTAAGCTCAGTCTATTACTAATTAACACATTATATGCATGAACTTTATAGCCTTCGTCTTTAACTTCTTGATCTTTCAAATTCCTAATCATTCCAATGTCCATTAATTCTAAAAAAACATAAATACAGTATTGCCAATTTAGATTTTAGTTTTAAAAACTCACCATTGTCTGTCATAAGTTCAATTTGTCGCAAACTATGGTGTGTAGGTTCGAATTTATTACTTTTACTACTATTTGTACTTGTGTAGTGAAAACTATATGGAACTTTTGTTGGTGAACTTTCATTTTTTATTATTTGAAAATATAAATAAAGAGAAATTAACCAGGTAGCTGAAGCAAAGCATATTCCATATAAAAACGAATTATTAAGACTAACCATAATTACTTATATATGTTATGCTACAGCTGTTTGAGTATTTTTTTCATCTTAAAATGTTTTCTCATTAAAATGACATTATAATTATTTAGTTAGGTTAGGTTAGATTATTTGACATGACATATCTCCACATATCTCTGTTATTTGAAAGTTGTAAAATTTATTCAAACATGACATGTCATTCAACTATTATAGTTTTTATTTAATAATCCTGATTCCTACATAAATAATGTTTTATTAAAGATGCAACAAGTTTTTTTTTCATACTAAAAAAGTACTTTATTTGAATTTTGTTTTGGAACATGCAACTCGGCCTCTTATGCATTAAAAACAGCAGTTACAAATGTTTCTATTGGTTTGTAACTTGACTACTACAAAAATAGGTGTGGCGCCACCCAACCAACCATAAATGCTGCCCTGACACTGCCAGCCAAGTTGCTAACCAACTGAGAGATCTGTCAGAAGTTATTTTTCTAAATTTTATTTATAAAAACTAGCTGATAACTGATAAGCCTGAACCATGGTGATTAAAGTGTATATTAGTGGTATTTCTGGAAACAAGGAGGTAAATTCTTACATTTGAAAATGAACTAAACTTATATACTTGTATAATTTCTTTAGGTGAAAAAACGACAACAAAGGGTCTTATTAATATTGGACTCTAAAAGTGTAAAGTATGAGGTGATAGACATAGCAGAGCCAGGGGCTGAGGAACTCAAAGACTTCATGCAAAACAAATCTACAGCTTCAGGGGGCACAATCAGTGATCCGAACCCCAGGCACCCTCTCCCACCTCAAATATTCAATGATGATGAATACTGTGGGGTGAGTAATTAATTGACATGTCTGATTTTATCTTTATTACTCATTGTTATGGTTTGTTGGTTGAAAATAGTTAGTTATTTATGAGGTATCTGAGTGATTACTGACATGGTTGAACAAGCAATACCAGTTACCATAACTGTATTTTTAGGTTTATCTTTTTATCTGATTAAGTTGTATTAAAACCTTAATTGATCAAACTATTTTTAGAACGGAATCTGATAATTTAATAAAGTAAGGATGTTAGATGATCAGGCCTAAAAAACAAACATTGCTAAAGAAAATTAAACCAACTGTTCATAAATTTAACTGTTTTTTGAGTAGGTATTATAATAAATAATAAAATAGATAAAAAAATTAATTGGAATACCTAATTACAAGTGACAATACAAATGTAGTAAAAAAATATAACAAGTATTAAGTACTATTATAGATATTATATTGAAAATAATTGGGGAAACTTCAATAACTATATAGGACAATGAAGAGATTTAGTATTGGTCAAATGTAATCCAGAAAAAAATAAAAATAAAACAAAAAACTCTACAGTAGAGTTAAGAAGGTTTGAAAACTCTACAGTGGAGTAAGAAAGAGCACACACTTTGTTACCATGCTATAATGAGGAGAATTCTATAATATGAGTACCTTAGCACTGAATCAGCAGTAGTATCTTAATATAAGTGTGTATGAAGGCTATAGCAACATGTTAAAAAGCATTGATGACACACTACTCCTCTGTTTTACTCCTTGATTTGTTTTTATTATTTATATATTACTTGATATTTATTTTTTTAAGGATTACGACATGTTTGATATGGCCAATGAAATAGATGAAATGGAGAAGTTCCTAAAGGTCGAACCAAATTCCCTAGGAGAACAGACAGCCACAGCAGAGGTACAACTTAAAAATGGCGATATATCTATTGATGAAAAAATAGACAAATTGGTTGGTAGCGGAACTGGTGAAGAGGAGTCGAAAGAGAATGAAGTGCCTAATGACCAGGAAGCCAAAGAGGACAAGGATTCTGAAGATAAAAAAGAGGTTAGTGTTGATATTTATTTAAGTATAGACTGCCAGTACCAATTTCCCTTAGAAGGAGGAAGATGGCAATAATGTAGAATGGTATATATTAAATTATCATTCAAAGCAAGTTCCTTGAGAAAGCTAGTGCTCTATATAAATATTTGTCATGGGAATTAAAGTAACAATTGGTTTATAACAATGAATAACAAACATTAGCTGAAAATATATTTTTCGCAAGAGAACCTAATATATTGAATGTTTCCAATTATTAATTTGCAGGAATCATTAGACAATGAAGACTCAGTAGATAAAGAAAAGAATGAAGAGTCTACCGAAAAAGAGGTAGATCAAATTTGTCTGCTTGAAATGTCTGTGGTTTTTATTGGCTGAATTTTTATATTATCTACCCTATTCTTTATTCTACTTTTAAAATAGACTTATTTCCTATTTTTTTAACATTTCCTTGAGTATGCTTTAATTATTAATTGAAAAGACTATCTAAAAAGTGCATGGATAATATTTAAATCATATTTTTTAACTCAGTGAACTTGTTGTCAAACACAAATCTAAATTGACCATGTTCATACCAGACATACAGGATGTAAGAGACCACTCCCATGCTAAAGCAAAACTCAGAGCCTGTGTATTTAATTCTAGGAAAGGCCATGGTACAAAATATAATACTGGCTTGCTAAAGTCTGAAATTATGAGATAGAGCTATGAAAAGCTACAAAGAATCAATGGAAATCTAAGCATAAAAGAACAGTCAACTAGATTTAAAGATGCACACATTGGCTAAAATAGTGGGTGGATTCTAGTACACTTGCAAGCTTATATAGCAGAATCTGATCCCAGAATGAGATTTTCCATTGTAAGAATGGACCAAGGCAAGGATATTGTTTATTTAACCTTGCACTGGCAAAGGCAATTTGAAATTCTCAGATTAACACAAATGGTATTAACATAACTGGTATACAAATAACTTTGTACAAGTGGTTTAATATGCACATAACATTGGTATCATTGTTAGGTCTACAGAAGGTCTAACTGAAACATTTTGGCCATTAAGGACATCTACACTTAAAATGGGACTCACAAAGAAATGGTGAAAAGACAAAATGCATATCCTTTAAGTCAAATAATAAGATATCTAGACTGATTGGTGATATGGATGTAGAAAGTGTAGCCACTTTCATACCTAAGTGTTGTTAATGATTAAAGACTTGAGGGAACAAATGACCTCATTTGAAAACTGAACTTGTATAGAACATTATTAAGACCAATACATATGTAGCAGAAATATTGCCACATACATGTAAGGACCAAGAACTGCTTAAATTCTTTTATCAAAAAAATTCTAAGAACAATGCATAAGTAAAAGAGTAAGGATTGTGATGTAGGTGTTACAACTTAGGCATGTAATCAGGCGAGAAGAAGATGCAACAAGATAGAAAATATTTTTATTGATTTTGAGGTACCTACAACAAACTAGAGGAAGACCCAAACTTGGATAGCTGAACAACTTGGCAACAAATAAAAATCTATGGGAGTTCAAGAGTGGAGAATCCTGGCTTGAGATAGGAATAGTTGTTCTAGCTTTCGCCCTTGTGTCCATTTCTAGTTCATAAAGCTACTTAATCCATATTTATGGCTAAATTTTTAATTTCTAAATAAACGAAATACATAAGCATTTTCGATTTTTACCTATATTACTGTGACTTAGCTCCTAATTGTAAAAGTTATGGTTTTTTTCAGTAAATGCATGAAACATTTAAAGTATTTACAGCCAAATTTAACAATAATGTGAAGATGCATGTTTTCTTTCTTTCTTTTGAAATTTCTTTGAAAAATTTCACTATCAATTGGCACTTTTAAATAATTTTTAGGAAACAAATACAGATGAATCTGTTAAAAACGAAAATGAAGGTGAATCTGATAAAAAAGAGGTAGATATATTGTGTATATTGCACAGCCTAACAAATGCTTTAAAATTTAATTATTTAAAATGTATAAACTTAAACCAGTTGTTCCCAGACCTTTTCAGTTAATTGTGCGTTTAAAAAATAAAATGACTTATTTAGAAAACGTGGACGACAAGATATAACTTGGACGATAAGCAGAATATTTTTGAAGATATAAACTATAACCCAGCACTATTTTTCACGTTAGTAACATATTTGCAACTGCAAGAAAATCATTTTTTTTAGTCAGTTTTGTACCAGCAGCCCCGCCATTTGCCGGAAGCGACGGAGACGTGGAAGTAACCGCGCCATCTACCGGAAGCAAGAGGTAATGTCAGCCGACGCGCTATCTTCCGGAAGTAAGAGTGGAGCTCACTGTACAATATCTAGAATGGTGCAGAAATCAATACAAAGTGCATTACCATGAACTTTTAAACATATTATATTACACGTATACAAAAATTAAAAGGGAAATTTTGCTATTACTCTGTTTAAATATGGCCAAACTTCAGATCTATCAATGTTCTGCTGCAAAACTATGATTAATCGAGGTATTCTCACGACATTTATTAGAAATCGGGAACGGAAAAGCTGCCAGTCCATGAGGCGTCAAAACGAATATCATTGTGTGATAATTTTTGTAGTTTAGTAAAATCAAATTGGAGAAATCATCGAAAAATATTTCATGATTGGTTCAATAAACGAGCTATCCTTTCAATGAAGAATATATGTCTACCAATTTAATCTTATTCAATCCAGCGTTCAAAGTGAGGATACAAATAAGTCGAAAGACACCTTTGTCAAAGCAGATGAAGCAGTTCATTTTACAACAGAATTTTTGAACTAACTTGCTCTTACAGGGATGTCACACATATTAAAATTGAAAATAGGCATACCAATTATATTGCTGAATATTAATCAGCCAAAACACTGCAAAGGCCCGTGACTCAGTTAAGAAATTGATGAAGACAGAAATAAAGAAATTAGACAAGAGATAAATCAGGAATCTCTACTGGGAAAAGTTGATAGGAAACAGTTGGTGTGGTACTGACATTTAAGTAATGACAAAAAACCAAAACAATTTAACTAAGAGTTTAATAGCAATGATAGTAATGAAGCAGATCTCAAAACTGGAAAAATGGATCTACAAACCAGCAAAAACATTAAAATAAATAATCAGCTACTGAAAGACGTAAGGATTCACGTGAAGAACAAGCAGTGTGTGGTGTAAATTCTAATGGACGACAGAGCAGATGTCTTCGACATGCTAAGCTTCAGCGGTATGCGTATATACACTTCCAGTACTTATTTACAAGAGCACGAAACTCTTCTACACTGCTAGTACCGCCACTTTAGGACAATGCACCCGGAGCGATGTGCCACATATTGAATGATTTTTTACTCTAAATTCTTGCACATCCCTCGCATTACCACTTTCTGAACGTCCCCCGTAAAATATATATTTTTGTTCCAAAATTGTCCTCTATTTTTTTTGTATATGTAGTACATTAATTAATACCTACATATTTATTAGAGAGCATGTAATTTTCTAGAGGGTTGTTTAATTTAAAACAATGTTTTCCAAAATAAAATAAAATTTTTGAGCTGCATGTTTTTTGCTGCGTTATTATATTGGCAATTTTTGTTTTTTTCAAAATTATAAATATCAATTGGAGCCCTTCAATAATTTTTAGGATTCAAACACAGATGAATCGGTCAAAGACGAAAATAAAGATGAATCTGGCGAAGAGGAAAAGAAAGACGAATCTAGCAAAGAAAAAACTGAAGATAAATCTGACAAAGAAGAAAATAAAGATGAATCTGGCGAAGATGAAAAGAAAGACGAATCTAGCAAAGAAGGAACTGAAGAGGAGTCTGTCAAAGAAGAAAATAAAGAAGAATCTGCTAACGAAGAAAATAAGGAGGAATCGATTAAAGATGAAGAAAAAGACGAGTCTCAAGTTAAAGAAGAAAAGACAGATGAATCTGATAAGAAAGACGAGACAGACGAATCTGAAGTTAAAGAAGAAACTAAAGAGGAATCTGTAACAGACGAAGATAAGAACGAATTTGTTACAGATAAATCTACAGAAGAACTTAAAGATGACGTTGCCGAAGATGAAAACAAAGACAATAAAGAAGAAAACAAAGAAGATTCTGTTAAAGATGAGTCTAAAGAAGAAAGCAAGGATGAATCTGTTACAGAAGAAAATAAAGATGAATCTGCAAAAGAAGAGAGTAAAACAGATGGATCTACCAAAGAAGAAAGTGAAGAAGAATCTGGTGAAGACGAAAGTGAGGATGAACAATCAGTTGAGGACGAAGATAAAGAAGAATCTTTAAAAGGTGAAGATAAGGAAGAATGTGCGAAAGAACAAAGTAAAGAAGAGCCTGTAAAGGAGGTATCTAAATTTAAAATTTTGCGTCTTCTAACAAAATGCTCGTTTTATTAAAGTTTGTGCAGCAGAAAATACTGATAATATTACTTAAAATGATGTATTAGAACTTTTCTTAATTTACTACTACTAACTTCTTCTTTTCCGTTTATTGCCACTAGTAATTTTCATTCTAGAGGAAAACAGCATAAATAACTTTTACCCGTTTATATTATTCGATAAAACATATCTTAATCTGATACAGGTATTACAACGAATTAGTAACGCCTCTAGATCTTTCAAAGAAAGCTTGTATCTTTCTCTGCCAATCAGATCTCCAGAGCTTCTATCTCCTCTTCGTTTGAAGAAAATTTAAGACCTTTTAAATTTTTTTTTTTTTCAGTTGAGGATCACATGAGAACCAGATCTAGTGAATAAAGGAATGTTCGAATTCTAAATCCCGAATTTTTTGCATGACGATATGATATTTGTGTGCTAGGCTATTATCCTGCAAAATCATTATACATCTGGATCCTTTAGTGCATATTCTTTCAATAGTTTTTTCTCGTAGAGTGGTCCGTAACGTCAAATTGTAATTCCCAGTTTTTGTTCTAATCGTAAGCAGAAAATCAATCATGATTAGTTATGGGCAAACTCAAAAAATCGAAGCACATGTCCAGCAGATTTTTCAAGATAAAAATTTATTATACCTTGCTTCTAGCCAACATTCAGACATTTAGGAATCCATTTTGAACAAATGTTTTCAATTCCAAATCGAGATTTTTTTGTGTTCCAATTTTACAGTCTTTGATGGAAAACTCACGAGAAACTATTACAAATTTTTAAAATCTAGATCTAAAGATAATTACCAACTTATGATCAGTTATCTGAATAAGTTAAAATTAGGAGTGATGTTCGACAAAGAAGCATACTATACCTTCTGTTGTACTTCATTCAGTCGTGATCCAGATGATCGCTATCTAAGGATAAATGCCTAACCAAACAGCTCAAATAAAATGGAATAAAATCAAAAAAATAATAAATGCTGACAATACTGTCATATTTGCAACGAAAAGAAGTGATTTTGGGCTGAAACTGAAAGTTTGAAGAACAGAGAGGATGGTGGAACTGGCTACAACACAGAAAGTTTAAATATCACCAGCCTTTAAGCCATTTATTTTTCTCGGTACAAAGCAAATTTAAACTATTTCTAAATTTTGTTCGTAGAATCTATTGTGTCTGGTCAATTAAAAATTTATTTTTCAATCTATTCGACTTATATTTGAGTCTTCTAACTACTTTTATATGATTCGGGGGAAAAATGGGAATCAAATGAGAAGGAAAACAAGAAAATATTATAATTAACCTCCCAATATTTTGATTATCTATGAAGATTTGCAACTTCCGATTTCCTCACATCCTTTATTGCTTTAAAAACATCTTTCAGCGTATTTTCTACTAAAGCTTCCTTTTATTCCAATTTGTGACATTTATATTCGGTAATTATTCTTTCATAGGGATCGGTAAATAAAGAAGACTCAAATGAGAAGGAAACTGAACAAAAACTTATAGACAAAGAGGTATTTTGATGTTATGGGTAAAAGACCAAATATTTTAAAAGCTTCCTTTACCTTCTACTATTTTTTACAGCTAATTTATGGTGTACAGTGTGAATCGATACTCTTGTTTTGGGGATTTATAGCGAAATGGTAAAAAAAGGCAAATAACCGAATAGCAAAATGTACAATAGGCAAATGATGAAGTGGATTTTGCAAAGAAAAATAAATTACCGATCAAATGAATAGAAAATTGACAATTGTGTAGAGGGTGTCCCATAAGGCAAAATATAGCGTTTAGACACTATTATTTATTAGCAAATTACTTTATATGCAATCAAATTTTAAAACGTAGTCTTTATCATTATATAAATTACTAAAGTGATAAAAATTGTAAAACTTTTACCGTTTCGCTATAAACCCTTGTATGGTCGGTAGTGATTCACTGTGTATATTATTGCACTATTGCATTTTGCATGAATTATCTGCATCCGGTATTGTATTTTCATACTTTTTGAAGCAGTAACAAATTGGCTATAAAATAAAGATAACAAAATTTTGGTAGCTTCTTTACAATTTTTTATTATTTTTATATACAGAGTAAATTATATCACTGCGACATAGACTATGGTTAGATTATTATATGGACCAAATATTACACAAAAAAAATCTTAAAGTGGAAAAAGATACAGTTTCTTAAATTTGTTTGCCAATGATTTCACTTTATATCTAAAAATTCGGTTAAAATCGGTACAGATTTAGATCTTTAGAGAGGATTTATTTGTAGAAATTTTTTACAATACCTTCTAGTGACTTTGTCAAAATTATGTCTAATAAAAAATGCCACTTACCAACAACAATTAGCTGACAGCCCAAAGCACACTTTCCATCAATTAAATAATACATATCAGTGGCGGCTCGTGACATCTGCTATAGGGTGTGCTGCATGAACCACGGTCAATATAAAATAATAGAAATAGAATAACATACGAAAACAAAAACAATAAAATTAGCTTTAATACTAGTTAATAGTAACTAATAACGACATGCTATAAAAATCTGATTAACTTACATTTATTGCATTTTTCTAAATTGGAAATTAATACGCCGGTCCTTTTTTGTCGCAAACTTTTCGATTACTTTATCGTTAAAGTTCGGTATTGAAGCGATGAACTTTTTTTCTATCGAGAGTGTGGAAAGGGCTGTTAATCTGTCTTCGCACATTGAATTTCTTAAAAATGTTTTGATCCGTTTTAAAGTTGAAAAACTACGTTCAGCTTCTGCTGTGGTCATTGGCGTAGTCACCAGAATTTGTATCAACTTTTTGGTTTCTGTTAATGTGTCCTCTAAATTATTAGAAATTATAAATTTTAGTAAAGGCACTGCACCTTTTAGATTCAATTGATGGGCGTAACAGTGCACAAAATGAGCAGTTTCATATTTTCTCTTAATTATTGTTTGCACTCCGCCATGTATCCCACTCATAACAGCTGCTCCGTCATAACTTTGTGCAATGAGCTTATTTTTGTTATTCTTTAATATTGGGTCTAAAACATTCAAAATTGTGTTATCTAAGGTTTCAGCATCATGTTTTTCTGGAAGCAAAAAAGTCCAAAACCTTTCAACTGGAGCACCGTTTTTTACATAACGAAAAACAATGACCATTTGAAATTTCATAGAAACATCCGTTGTCTCATCAGCTATCACTGCTAAAAATGGGGCTTCATTGATTTCGTTTAAAATCTCCTCAGCGTATACTTCTAGCATGCAATCCAAAATATCATTTTGTATTGTTTTTGAGGTACCTTTGAAAATTGTCGCATTTGTAAGGTGTTCACTAAGTGTTTTATCAAGTTCAGCAGAAAAATTCACTAAACCACGAAAAATTCCAGGGTTATCTGATGTTTCAGATTCATCGTGTCCTCGTAAGGCGAGCTCAAAAGCCCCACAGAATTTTATACAGTCAATTATTTATTATTTATTAATTATTAATAAAAACCAGAGAATTACGAACACACATTAAATTTATTGTCTCCGAAGGCTCAGGTCAAAAAATCAACACAGATGTTGGCCTACTGGTGTGAAAGCGCTCGCAGACAACAATACGAATATAGTATTTTTAGGAAATAAAAATATATAGAGGGTTTTATACACGAGAATATTTGATTTAAACGAAACAAAGAAATTCCTAAAATGCTCAAACTAAAAATTGTTGGAGACATAATTAGATCGAAAATTGGGAAAATCTTAAAATTATAACAGAACAAGACTTCAAAATAAAAACATGATTGCAAATAAACAAACTTACATTAACATAACTTCAAATATTTGCTGTCTTTTTCACCAAACAAACTTACATTAAATTATGAAAAAACTAAATGCTCATCTACTTTTTGCTATATACAAAAGTTGTCTGTCAATGTTTAATTCGTTACATATAAATAACAAAGATCAAATATATGGATCGGAGTACACAACATATTTAGGGAATAAATATTTAAATGGGAATTACAAATAAAAAATATTAAAACTTTATTTATTGTATATCTCAATATTTAGTGACAATTTTGTGACTTAATCAGGAGAAAACTGTAAATTTATTAAGATGAGATATTGACAAAAGTTAAATACTTCATTATTTACAATACACTTCGAATATACTAATACTCTTATAGTTGTAAGTAATGAAGTATTATTTATAAATACAAATATATTTCATGTGCAATATTTCATATTTATTGAAAGTCAACATAAATGCTAAATTTTATTTAAGAATTTATATTGTGTAATATGCCCACTGACTATTAAAAAATAAGGTGCTTTCCTGTCATTTTCACTCGTTGGCGGCTTGCCCACGCAAGATGAAAGGAGTGTCGCTTCTCTGCGTTCGTAGTTCTCTGGCACAGATGCAACGGTCACGAATAACTGTCGTGAATTGCAGCTCGCAAACACATTTCCGAGGCCGTTAATCAGCCGATTGCCGAAGCACATCGGCTAAGATCGCCGTTTGCCTAATAAATGCATTTAACCGCTGCCAGTGTTTCGGTTGTTATCGACGCGGCTTCACTGGAGCAGCAAATACGTAAAAAGATTGCTTCACTGGAGCACCAAATACGTAAAAAAATTATACGGTTTCACTAGAGGAGTAAATACGTAAAAAAAATAATATTAATCATCGTTGTTGGTGAATTATTATTAACAGTTTATGTTTAATATGATAATATGGCAGATTTGAAATAAAACTATATTAATTATTCTTTAATAATTAAGATTTGCTATGGTTGTTTGGTAGTTCTGCAGCTCAGCAGCACATAAAGAAAAGCCGCCACTGATACATATTAGAAATACAATAATAGTTACAGACAAGCAGACCATCGAAATTTGCAAATCTAAGAATGCTTTCCATTCTCATATTAACTTCATTAAGAAGGATACTTTGGAACCGTCGATAAATCTGGATCCTTTGACCCCACCAAGAGTTACATTAACCAATAACTCGGAACAGTCAATATCTTCTAGCAAGATTAAGGGAACCAGATATCTTGAAAGCAATTAGGCTACATCTTGCGTTTCTACACGACCAACTTGTCTCAGTATGTTACGCAGGATTTACTAACACAAGCGTTAAACTATTTTTGACTTCCGAAGGACTTTCCACTAAGACTAAAGATCTACGAAAAATCCTTCTAGAATTTAACAATGCCTATGGAATTGGTCCAATTGAGGTCGAATCTGATCTTGCTGCTTTTGGGTCTTTTCTCACTTCGGAAATAATTATTCCCTGCAAAAGTATGCGAAGTACCACAGTATTACTAAAAAAATTCGCCGAAAAAGTTTGAATGTAAAATAATAAATAAAATAATATTCCGTGTCCAAAGTTACGCCTTTTATGTAGATTTTGATAACATGTTTATAAATATACAGTGCAATTATTAAAGAACAAAAAAAATTAAATTAACACACTGTATCTTTTTCCACAGCAGTATTTTATTAAAACATATTTAGTCTAATGGGAATATTTTGGTCCACGCAAAGCAGTTCCTGCGCCTCTGTTTGATAGGCAATGTCTATCGACCACGTGACCCTCTCATTGGTCGTTTGTCACGTGGTCGATAAACATGACAAATTAGAAAGCGATGCCGGGACTGCCTTGCGTCAGATTTCTCTGTCACACTGGAGGAATGGGCTGGTATTGCAACGATTAGTCTAGCTTGTCTAGCAACATCTTGATAGCAACATCTCTGTTTATATTTCTTCCCTTATATACTATATATTAAGTGTTTTTGAGATGTGGCAACACCGGATAAGAAACACAAAACTTGACAACAACTTAAAAAATTGGACATTTCTACTACCGGTTTTTTCACGTCCCAGAACAAGCATTCTTTGTATATTGAGATGTACGTGATATTTCTTATACATACTTTTAGTTTATTTTAAACTTATTTCTTCATAGTCTTGCCGTAATTTAATATGTTTAGCATTATAATTAATCGGAAAACTTATATAATTTTGTATATTTTCTATAAATTATCTTACATTATGTATATAACAAGAATTTTAGCATTTTTACACTTTTCTAGGAATCTGTCGAAACGGAAGCATCGCCTGAAAAAGAAACGGAAGAAGAAACTGCGCAAGAGGTAGCTATTTTTTGTAACAGCTACTGAGTTTTTTCGAATTTTTTTTTCTATAAAATTGATATACAAGATGAAATTTTTTCGATATATTGGAGAGCTTTTGAAATTCTGTTTTTTTTCTTCGCTGATCTTTTTAACTATTTTCTGTAGATTCTGCAGACCTTTTTATATTGCCGAATGTACAGTCGGTGCATTGTTCTTTCAATCGCACAAATAGTTTTTGTGCACCTTCTTGAAGGACTTTAAATGCTTTCTTTGAATACGCGGTAATTAACCAGCTTTGCTGAAATCTGTAAATTCCTTTATGTTATTATTACATGATTCTTTTGATCTGTAATCACTCTGTTCTTTCCAGCCTTTAAAGTAGTCCGAATTTCGGGTGATATTAACGAGCGAATCAAAACGTCTTTATGTCACTTAGTGTCAATGTAGGTAATTTGTACAGTCGTTTTTGTTTCCTTTCGTCAATAAATAAAATATACAGTAAATTATAAATCTTTCCACAAAAAATTTGCTTTTAGATAATTAAATTTATTTTTATTTCTTTCTATTTTCTGATTTTTCTATCTTTATATCTGTAATTTTGTCTTTTGCTGCAATTTCCTTGAACTCGTCATAGAAAACATTTAATTTTGTATATCATTCGCGTTTTTTTTATATACTATAAAATATATTCATTTATAACTTTGGCCTCAAATAGGTAGATGAATAAAAAAGACCCTTCATATTGTTTTTTAGGAACCAGCAGAAAATACAGAAACGGTAGAGAAAGACACCGAAGATTCAACACAAAAAGAGGTAGTTAAGTGTGTTGCTTGCGTATTTTGGAGAATAATATTGTAGAGCTATTATTAACAATTGGCGATTTTTCATTTGAACTGTTGCCAGCATATAATCGCGCTTATCTAAATTGTTTAGAAATTGTCAAATTTGAGTTTTTAGATATGGCAAAATGTTTTCTATTTAAAATAATTATTTATCAATAAAAAAAACAGCGGTCTGAATGGCTGTCATTTACATGCAATAGATCTAGTTCGTGCAAAGGCTTTCCAAGGATAAGAACATGTTGCTGAGTTTTGCACCTTGTGGCATTCACATTGAGTATCTAGTACGTGGGTAATTGAGAAGAATTTTCCACAGATAATATAAAAGGTTTGCTGGTAAGAGTTTGTCTGAAAGCTCTAGGTTTGGAGGAATAGTTTCTTTCTACTTAGCAAGACGACAAATGTGTTTTGCAGGAAGATGCGAATAAGAGTGGGCGTTTTGGAAACAGAGTTGCTCGTCGTTAGTTACATTATGGCAAAGTGTACATGATCTTTCTGGTCTAAAAACCACTTCTTTAACTAGATTTTTTCTCTACTCGATGCTATTCTAAGGTTCATACGTTCAACTAGTTTAAAAAATGACAGTGCAATAATGAGTTTTTTAAGAGTCCTTGGGATCGTTGCATTAGGAACATTGGATATATGCAATACTCGTTATAACTATTCATAGTCTGGAGCAGCCACTCTAATGTCTTGACTTCAGACTTCTTGAAATGCTCTGTAGGCAGATCTTCAGTACCTAAAGCTTTATTTAGGTAGTGACTTGACTGACCCAAAAGGTTCGCCCAACTGATTGGTTTTATCCTCTCCCACTTTGAGTATTTCTCTTTTTGTTAGGTGTATCTCCACTTTTAAGCAAGTAGGGAGACCACTTGTTTTGTTTTGCTGCAACATTGTGGAAATTGTTAATTCTTTCATTATGGTCTTGGTAAGATTTTTAATAGTGTCCAAGCAGGTCTATTATTTGATGCCACGTTGAAGTTTTCGAGTGAGTTGCATCTTCATTCGTCTGAGATTCTTATAGATATATGTATCCAAAAAGTTTTAACATACGAATGATTTTTATCTGATATATGCAGATGAATGATAAATTCGTCTGCATTTATTCAACCAAGTATAGTGGTTTGTGAGCAAAGCAATTCACAGTTGTCTATTCCTTTGCTCAAATTGATGGCATGTCAACATCGTATCTACCATTATAATAACGTCGAATCATCAAATGTGTACGATACATCACCGTTTGTTTGCTGTCTCTTTAGATAAATAAGCAAAATCATAGAGACGGGCTCAATTAATTACTGTTTGAGCACAATAAATATCGATAAAACGAATTGTCCATAATTCATACCTGATTTGACACCAACTGACCATTCTCATGCAACAAAGATAAACCTAATTTGGTATGGAATATCTGCTTGGAACGTATCCGCTTTGGGACGTAAGCCTGAAAACAAAGTCCGTTACAATCAATATGTCCAAACCTTCTATACCCTTTATACAACATAATACATGAAACTTAGACACACATATGGGGAAGTCGAGTATTCTTCCCAGCTAATAATTGAAATTTGCTATTTCCAGAATAATCTGCCTGCTATTTTTTTGTTATTATTATTAGAGTATTTATTGTATTTATAATAAAAAGCTAATTTATAATAGTAAAACCTTAGAATGCTGCTTTTTGACGTATTTTCGTAGGGTAAAACTGCAATCTACATCCTCGTATTAAAACAATATTTTGTTGCAGGGCTCTGTTGAAAAGGAAGAACCTACAAAAGAAACTGGCGATGATGTCGACGAGAACGAAGAGGAAGACGACAAAGAAGATGAAAAAGAAGCTTCCCCCGAAAAGTCTGATGAATAAATACTAGGATTATACAAACAAACGCACTGATGACCTAATTATAAGAAGTCGAAACACCAAAATTATTTTTAAATTCGTTATTGTTTTGCCCGTTTATTTAAAGTTGTTTATCGAGTCCTTTTAGGGAGAATTTTCATCAAATTTAATTGTGTTTCAGTGTATTACCAACTCAAATAGGTTTATCTGGAAATTAGTTCGTGCTTAGGTCTGTTTCTTCGAGTTGACTTGTCTGAAGTCCTATAAATTGTGAATTACTTCGTCGAAAGTAACTTAAATTTGAAGGATTCTATGTGCCAACACTTTTAATGTGTTTTTTCACTTTTTTTGCAAAATAATTGTCTACATCAAGGCTGAGAAAGCTTTTGTAATAGGCTGGTTAAACTATCTACATAAATTTTTCAATACCGATCACAAAAATGGCATACAGAAATTCATAAATCAATTATTGATAAAATATCTTCATCTGTGGGTCATATATGACTTGACTCTTCGTCGTCATAGGACCTTATGTGTTCCCACCTGGACTAGATATAGCTTGCAACCGTTTTTGTGGCAGCTGTATTTTTTTATTTGGAATACAGAGTAATGATTTCGTTTTGTGACCTTAGTTCGATTAAAATTGTATAAAATTTTCTAAGAAAAAAGTTTTCTTTTATCTGGTTCCATATGTCTGTATCAGCTCAGAATAACCTTATTTGAGTTGGTAATTTATCAATTTTATTAAATTAAAAAACTTTTATTTATTTTTTTAACTTGTGCTATTACAAAAATTGTATGCCAGTTAACATGACCTTTAAAATGACCTTGAAGATTAGGACTGACATAAAACTGTGGGTCTGTGGTGAATTCCACAATACTGTGAATAAAAGTTCTACAAGGACATATTGTATAATTTCTAGTGCTACTTGGGCTAACAAAAGCTTTTGACAAAGTTTGATATACAAGTTTTATGAGTATAATACACAAGATGATTTGTATGCCAAAATATTCCAGTCCTATCACAACTGATAATTTTAATAATAGGCTTAATATTGAGATTTGACAAAAATGAAACATTCAGTGGTACAAGGATATGTTTTGGAACCCATATAGTATCTAATTCATATAGTTCCTGATTCTTCGAGTTGTTTTTTTTTAGGTCCTAAACTCTCACAATTTTTGTACTAGTACACAAAAAAACTAACCAATTGTGTGATATTTGTGTGGTAAAATAAAACAAGTAAAAAAGACTTTTTCCAACCGGTTTTTATCATGAAATGTATACTTAAGCTTTGAATTCTACTTTTTAAGGTAATCTCATTTTTTAATTTAATATTTTAAACTATTTTTGGATAGCATATTTACTAATGCTCGCTTCGCTTTCGATAATGAACGTTTTAGAGTCATCGTCAGTATTAATTTAGTCAGGGGCTCAGCGAAAAAAAGCTCTCTTTACGCCGTTCTCAGTTTTCTACAGTGTTATTATGACAATATAACTGAACTGAACTTATTCTAAATGACATTGTTTTCAGTTTATGAACTTTAAGGTTAATCAATTCTGCGTGATTTTCCCCACTTCTAAAGTGCGAACTGTGTTTTGTCATCAAGACACTGTAGTCCTTGTCAGAATACAATATTTTTGGATACATTAGCGCAGAACTCGGAACATGCCTCCTAAAGAGACATCGAAGGCTTGACACAGCAATATTTAAGAAGTAGAAAATGATTCTAATCAGATTGGTTTATGTAGGAATAAAATATAAGAAAATGAGTAAGTTTTAAGTGAGAAAACTGAAACGGCGTTGAAAAACAATATGGGTTGTTTTAGTACTTTTTGGTGTTTCTTATTGCAAATGTCAAAATATTTATTCTCGCCTAAAATCGTTCCTTATTTATTTCTTATCATCTTATATCATAATTATATTTCATATAGGAATTTTTGTAAATGCGCTGTTAAAAATGGGAGACTGTCTGTGAATTACTTTTTTCTTTAAACATTATAGAAATGGTGAAAAAGTATTTCTAGTTCAGTCAATGTTGTATAGTTCAACTTGTTTTAATTGACAATTTTGGTGTATAAGTTGAAATAATATGCGTAGTAATATCCAGTGTGTGGGTGCGGATTTTTGATATCTAACTGTCAAGGCCACGTAATCAGCCAAAGTAATATTTTTAATTAATCCAGTCAAATATATCGATTCATTCGATTTTATACCGAACTTTTAAAAGTAAGAAAATCTTTTAAGTTGGACTTTGCAGCATTACGAGGTACTTGGTACTGCTTTGATCAAAATATTGTTGCATATGATATATGTTAACTGTTATCTTATTTTGGATTTTGTAAATATTTATTATATCTTTTATGATCTATTTCAAATAAACTATCATTTTCTTTTCATTATTTTTCCTGTAAAACTTTTCTTCGCGCGAAAATAGAAAAACTGGAAATTTCTAAATGATTGGAAAAATAAATCAGCGGAAAATAGAGATTGACAAGAGCCAAGACTATGTCTATTTGATTTGTGGATTCTAAAGAATTCTATTGAATTCAACTGATGTGACAGAACAACATCAGTTAATTTAGACTCATTAGTCGAAAGAAAAAAGAGAATAATAAAGTAAAAAGGTGCTTATTAAACAAAGTATGTTGAAGTATGAAATCCCCAAGGAAAATGAGAGACTGAGGAAACAATATCAGAACCTATTTAGAGAAGCACGCTCTATACGGAAGATTGGTTATTGTAAATTTGAGAAGGATAGACAGATCCTAGTGTTCTAGATCGACGAGATGTTAAAAAGCTTGAGGACTGCTCACTTCAAGGCGTTAGAGATTTGGAAAGGTATGCTTCAAGGCCTCGATGGCTCTAATCAGTTATATAGGAGAATATAGCAGCTTCAGCAGAACTTACTTTTGCTATGAGAAGGTTCAATTCAGCTTTGATACACGGTTCCAATAGGAGGTATCTGGCATTAGTGAAGAGTTTACATATAGCTGAGCTGCTAAGAGGAGTAGAATATTTGATAATAGTCAAACGACATTAAAATACTGCTGTTGATGAATTTCTGTCCCGCGGATTTAATGATTATAAAGATCACAGAAGGAGGAAGTATAAACGCAATAATTCCGGGAACAGCATACCTTCCATATGATCACCAAGGAAGACAACAGCTAGAAAGATTGTAGCTGATCGTCGGCTGTGATGCGAATACGCACAATCTGACACTGGGTAGTACAAACACCAATGAAAGAGGTGAGTTATTACTAATTTTTTACATAATAAACATAAGCCAACTTTCATAGGAAGAAGACGGTTTCCTGGTTGAAGAACCTGGGAGAATGGTTTAGTTGCAGCTCAAGGCAATTGTTCAGAGCAGCTGCCTCGAAGGTCAGAGTAGCCATGATGATTGCCAACCTTCGTCGCGGAGATGACACTTAAAGAAGAACTTTCGTAAGTTCACAACTAAAGGAGTTAATTAATATACCAGTGACCACGACTCACGTGACTAGAACTGCTAAAAAATAGCATACGTCAGATGATTTGTCTTTGAGACATCTGTTTTGAAATAACAGGCAATGAGCCTAGCAAGGAAACGTGTCGTAAGTCTCCTAAAACAGACAGGAAAGCATATTAAGCAGACCTGGAATATTGACTAGGAAAGGCAAAAATAACGAAAATACATTGGACCTATTATAGAGATAATTGCCGATAATTTTTAAGGCGTTGGAAGTCAACTGTCCTTAGATATCCAACAGAAAAGTACCCGTAACCATAATTGAAAAATAAGCTTATATAAATCAAAGAACTGAGTATAATAAAAAACTGATAAACGACAAAAAGGAGGTTGTGAAGGTCATTGCGAAAAGCAGATTGTAGAAATGTCGCGGCTCCATAAAATTATCTCAAAGGACCTTCAAGTAAGTAATCCCTTGATCCAAAAGTAAATAGTCAGGTGAATACACTCGGAATGGCATAGAACTCGTAATCAACTGTTCAGGATGCACTTTACTGAGTCAGAAATAAAACTGATACTGGACACATGGTAGCACACTGGACTGGAGACAATATCTTATCGTTCTGGGGAAAGCTGACGTGTGGCAAGGTAAATTAGAACAAAATGAAATAGTCATAATTATTTGGAGTACAGAAACGAAATGAGCTGTAAAAAATTATAAATATCTACTAGCTAAGACTGGGATACTGGAGGCTCATAAGCGTAGCTTTAAGACTCCGGCAAAACCAGACTAAAAAAATTTAAAACAAACTTGTTCGAATGAGTTACATGGATCCATACCACCATAAAGTTTATTGCCACCGAACACAAGATGTGTTCACTTTGCTAATACAGAGAAGCCACCAGATGATCACACTAAAAATAAGTTAGGGAAAGTTTAACCATTCTCGAATTAGTGAGAAATGCATGTCTTAAAATTGAAAGATCAGTTAATTACTGCAGTATAAATGAGCAAAGGATTACATTTACCAGCCGTTGTAATTACGTGTGAAACGTTTAGTTTCAAGTAACCATCATGTCTAGACGTAAGTTAGATATTGATGAATTAATTGCAAATGTGCATAAATACTTTACCAAGGAAAGAGACAATGGTGGACCTTTAAAGTCAATATTATGTATAAATTAACGAGTTGGTGACGCTCTCGGGATAAGTGAAAGTAAGCTAAAAACTGTAATGAAGACTATCAGAGATTCTCAAGAAGATCTTACTGTGACTGAGTTTCACGAAGACAAGAAAACAACTAGTAAACATTTTAGGAGTGTTGATTTACCTGATGGAGAAAAATTTGAAATTCGTAATATTTTGTATCGAATGCGTGAAAACAATCAATATGTCAGTTTAGACACTTTACTGGCCAAAATAAGAGAAAGATAAGTTTCTGAAATTAAGAGGACTAGCCTTTGGAAAGTGTTAAGAGATTTGGGATATAAATTCAAAAAACGAAAATAATAGGTTACTTTTATATGAAAGGGGTAGTGCGGTTCACAAAAGAATTAAATTTTTGAGAGAATATACTAGATTTAAATCTGAAAATGCAACATTCGTATACTATTGCAAAGGGTGGAATTAAAAGAATTTGGAAAGAAGACAGCATAAAATCAATAAAACACAAAGAAAGCGAAGGCAGAAGACACATAATTCTTCATGCAGTCGGAAGGAAGGCTTTATAGAAAACACAGATTTGATTTTTTTCTTCAAAATCAAAATCTGCTGATTACCATGAAAACATGAATGCAGATATGTTTGTTAAATGGCTTCAGGAGAAACTGTTACCTAGTCTGAGTGAACCATCAGTTATAATTTTAGATAATGCACCTTACCATTCGGAGATTTTGGAGAAACAACCAAAACAGTCGTGGAACGTATCGAGCATAAAAAATTGGTTAGTTAAAAATAATATCAATTTTCCGGAATATATCTTTAAATCAGAGCTATTGCGGTTACCGCCGTATCACTGCCAGTTTAATCCCATCGAACACATGTGGGTATAGGTATGTAAAACGTATTATGATAATCACGTTGGATTTGGTGGATACAGTGACGATGCAGTTAGGGAAATGTGCCAAGAAGCTCTTAAAACTGCCTCAAAAATACTCACTAATAGCCAAATAAACAATAACATTTAAAATTCCATTTGAATTTTTTCTCATTTTACACAAATTAACTCTAACTGACAATACAGACAAAAATATTCTAAACAAAGTAAGTAATTAAAAAGATTATGGAGAACTCCAGTGCAGTTTATCGTGCCTTTTACTACAACGAAAGGATTTCTGTGAATTCCATTAATCGTTTAGAGGTGTAAGTTGGTTGAGTGTACTATACGAAGAAGCTTGGATTAGGTGCTAAACATGTAAAGGATGGGTACATAAGGGTATGCGAATAATATTAATTGTTAAAACTAAATTATTTTTAATATAAATTAAGAATGATTAAAATTTTGTTTTATTGTGTATCATTTTTTCTCATATTGATCAAATTTTATAATAAAAACCAGGAAAACCAAACTACACGACAAACAAACCAATTTACATGGCGAAAGTCTAAATTACACATTAAGTTTATATTTCAAATTATTTTTTATAATGTCATTAAAACTATTTTCTGCATTCTGGGGTGTAATAAGAAACCCCGCGTAATGGGGTCCAAATTGCACGGCCTTTTCCGAGCAGTCAAGATATTTTTTTTACATAGTACTGTATAACGTAATTACAAACTTTTTTATACTGTCCGGTACTTCGTGGTATCGCAGTGGTCTAGAGGTTGATGAAATTGTCGTCCCACTCACAAAATCGGCATAATTATGCCATAAAACTAGTTGTCGTAGTCGTCACTTACAAAACAGTTAGTTGTACACTTATCTCATGAATACTTTAGATTACCGGCTGATAACTAGGCTTAAACACAAATAAAGATAACCACAATGAATTTGTAATTCTTAAAAAACAAAAATTTGTTGTTTGAGTAATCTGTTAGTGTGTGTTTTTAATAAAATGGTTGTGCAAGTGTATATTACTGGAGTTTCTTGTAATACCGAGGTATGTATTATGTATTGTATGTTCCATCATAAATGTAAACGAGGTCACGTTCTCACTTTGTTTACCTTGAACTGAGTCGTTCACGGTTAATTGCATCGATCATTGAAGTGGAAAGTATCGATTTTACCGTACTATATACAAAAGAAATATAACTATATATATAATATATATATATATATATATATATATATATATATATATATATATATATATATATATATATTGTCCTGTAAGTCTTTTTCAACTCCATGTTTTCTGGTCATAACTTAATTCCTCTTGCAAGTCCTTTACGTTGCGTCTTCGATATCGTCAATTTCTCTTTATCTTCTGTCATACTCTTCACATATTCAAACGGGTACACGTAGACTCATCACCAATTACCCTAATATACCCTCGAACATAGTACAAACTCATCACCGCCATAAAAGTTAGTATTGTCAAAGAGAGATTGGTAACTAAAATCGATGTATTAAATGCAAATATAATTTATTGGTTTTTATTTGGAAATTCCTCAAAATTCCATTGATAGACCTATATATACCTAAAACTATACGCCTAGTAAAATTTCTCTTTATTTGCCCTTGTTCCTTTAACATGGATAGCTTGCTCATTACGTTTTGAATCAACGCGGACGAAAAATGATAAAAATAGTGATCAGTTTACTATATCTCTGAGGGTCTAATAATTTTATGGATGGCTATAAAGTGAAAAGTTCGTACACGTCCATTCAAACGGCATTTACTGTCCTTTTTCCACACTTTCACTTCTTTGTCTGTTAACGTCCATTTTCGTTTCGTTTCTTATTTGTCTTTTCTGACATAATCATCATGCAACCTCTTCTATCCCGTGGTGGACATATGTCTCTTCCATTTTTCACCACTCTTTTACGGTTCTGTGCGTCTTGTTGCCATTGCCAGTTTGGCTATACGTTCAACGACATCAGTGATACCAGTTCTTTTTCTTAGGCCTTGGTTCCTTATTTTGTCTTTTTTTGTCACGCCGAGAATCGATTTTTCCATGCTCCTTTATGCCATTCGCATTTTTAGTTGTTTTTGTGAGAGTAAGAGTTTCTGCTCCGTATGTCATAAGAGGAATAACGCATTGGTCAAATGTCTTCCGTTTCATAGCTATCGGGATGTTGCCCTTCTGACACTTTTCCTCAAATATTCCGAAATACATCGTCTAATGGTATTTTTATATACCTACTTAGATTTATTTTTTAAGATTTTTTTTTTCTGTAACTACACTTATAATTAATAATATTTTTTAATACTTTGATGATTAATAATTTTATATAAACGTCGTAATATTTATTAAACCACAAAAACTCTGTTTTTTCTCTCTCTTTTGTCTCTCTGTTGTAAATGAAATATTAAAATTTTTGTTATCAGTTCTGCGTTTTTTGTTTCTGAGGTTTTGGGAGTCTTCTGTGGTGAATTGTGACGGCTGAATGATTTTGTTCGTTGATATACTTGCACATAAAATGATTTTATCAAGAAAAGTCATAATAACTTTAATATGTCGTAAAATTATACAGTACATCCATTGAAGAACTGGAAAACAACTTTCTGGCGTCATGCCAATGATCATAGTTGTCGAGGCATTAACTCAATAAAAAAAAAAACTTTCTGGCGATAAAACCTCTTTCCTTTATAGATAATATTTTTGCTTCACTGTTTCTTCTTTTTTTTCTGTAGACATCATTCTGTCTCCGGCTTCTATATAAAATGTAGCTTCTCCAATTTTAAATTTGAAAGTGTTTGTTTGTCTTTGTTTAGTGTATTTGTTATGTCCCAATTTACATTTATGACATTCTGTTACTGCTGGATAGGCCACAACTGACGAAATGCCCCTGAAGATGATCTTGTGATCGAAAGTACTTGGGCAAGATTTGATTAAATACTGTGTTCGATATTTGCCTTGTGTACCATCAAAGTTCATTTATTCGAACATTCAACCTTATATTGAAATACACAATAATTAATTTGTATTGATTACTTGGTACTCTGCTCCAATTCCGTTCTCTAATATTGCTTTTACAAATTTATATACTTCCTACGCTAATCGGACAACTGAGGTAAACTCTTAAGAGGTAACCTATGGAGAACAAAAGTTTTTTTATTATGTATTTAAACTACCAATTACTTCGAAAACCTTTTAAATTTTCTAAAATCTTCTCAGAAAACAACAAACCAAACTAACAGAGGATGTAGGAAGTATATTGACTTTTATTACAAGTGAATGAAATTAGGACAGGAGAGAGAAAGATGAAAACAATTGGGAGATACCTACTTCCAAGAGTGTTTGGTAACAGTTGACAAAAATAAAGAGCAAGGGAGATTAAAAAATCCAATACTGAGCACTCTTCCTATCAACTACAGTATTACCTCAGACAACAGTAAACGAAAACATAATCGCCTGCATAATAAGACATTTAAATGTGGTAATTAAGTATAAAGAAGAATCTTCAAAATACGAGCGTCATATTTCATCGATTCCCAATGTTACTTTTGATTCTTAAACGTTTTTATTTTTAAAATTTTTAGGTTAAATCACGACAGCAAAGAGTACTGTCTATTTTGGATTCCAAATCTATCAAATATGAAATCGTGGATATTACAGGCGAAGATGGTGAAAAACCAAAAGCGTATATGCAGTTAAATGCCACGTCTCTGGGAGGAACTCTAAATGATCCTGTTCCGAAACATCCACTACCCCCCCAGTTATTTAATGATGGCATTTATTGTGGGGTAAGTATTTATACACACACTTTTCATTTTCTTCTTCACTACAGCGTTTAGACTTTGTCTGTTCCATCTTCACAAGGGTGCAACAACATCTTAATCCGATACTATAGTAGAAGCCACAGTTAAAATGCAGTGCAGGTAAGATAGGCAGTGTATTTCTTATGAGTGAACGGCCGACCACGTTGCCGGTTTTCCCCGAGCGGCGCATCAGGACCGGATTTAAGAATCATAGCACTGAAATATACGCCCACACAACAATTGCCTACGATTGTATAAAAGACTATCATTATTGTTTCAACTAAAGTATCATTCAATCATCGATGTATAAATAAAAGAGTCATCATCATCAATCAGCCAATCGCGTCCACTGCTGGACATAGGCGTCCCTCAGTTCTTTCCAGTGTTCTCTACACTGGACCGCTTGTAGCCAGTTTCCCGCTACACGTTTTATATCATCGGTCCATCTAGTCGGTGGTCGTCCTCGGCTTCTTTTATAGTTTCTGGGCCTCCATTCCATAATACGTCTTGTCCACCGTCCATCTTGTGCTCTGGCTAAGTGCCCTGCCCAGTTCCACTTAAGCGACGTGGTTCTTTCGATGACGTCTTGAACTCCTGATCTTTGCCTAATTTGTTGGTTTGTTATGTGGTCTCGAAGCCTCACGTTCAGCATTGCACGTTCCATGGCTCGTTGTGTAACTCTGAGTTTATTCGCAGATTTTTGCGTGAGTGTTAAAGTCTCTGCTCCATAAGTTTGTACAGGTATAACACATTGGTTATAAACCTTTCGCTTGGGACACATGGGAATTGAACTTTTTAGAATATGGCTTAATTTGCCAAATGCTGTCCAAGAGGCCTATTCGCCTCTGTATTTCATGTGTTTGATTGTCTCTGCTTATTTTGATTTCGTGTCCCAGATATTTGTAAGTGTCTGTTTGTTATATGGTATTATTGTCAATAGTTATATTTCCACTCATTACGAGCTTTGTTATAAGTTTAGTTTTCTCAAAGCTTATCTTTAATCCTGCTCTTTCAGACAGACTTTTAAGCGAATGCATCATAGAAACGGTATCTTGTAAATTATCTGCGATTAATAAAACATCATCTGCAAATCTTAGGTGATTCAATCTTTCTCCATGTATATTGATGCCCATATCTTGCCATTGAGTGCTCTTAAATATTGACTTTAGAGCTGCCGTGAACAATTTTGGTGAAATATTGTTGTGAAAAAAAAGTAAAATACATCAAAAACTCATTGTCGATAACTTATCTAGATTTATCAATTTTCAATAGCTTCCATTGTAAATACATACATTCTTTGGAAAATAAAGATCATCATTAAATCATTAGGATAAGCGAGTGAGTTTTAATCCCTATTGTCCCGCAAATAAAACATGTCTCTTTATCAATTTGCATACATCTATTAGACAAAAAATTTTTTGGCAAAAACTATAAAAGCTCAATTCTATTTGATTTTCGCAAGCGGATGAAAATACCTACATTATGGAGCCGGTGCAAGTATCTGTCATTAATTTTAAACAGGGTATGACACTTAGTGTGCAAGTAAAACGTGTGGTGTTAAATGTATTAAACTCTCATATAAACTTAAAAAATGGTGACAGCTTGACTATTACTACTATGGAAAAAGTTTCAAAAATGTGCGGTGTGAGTGTTCAAAAAATTTATGACATCCACGAAGAGGCCCAGCAAGGCGAACTAAAACCGGTACAAAAAAAGGAAAAAAATAGTTTAAAGTCCAATTCGTGTAAGAATACTTACGATGGGGGAGTGAAATCTCGAAAAAGGAAAATGGTCCAACATTTTTTTGAAAACATATCATCAACCGTCGACAGCATAATGAACAGAGTAAAGGATGATGAGAATCTAGCAGCGTTTTCAAAAACCATATTTCGTAGGTTACTAAGTGACATGGGTTTTGAATAAGGTAAGAGAGGTCGAGATTCGATAATGATCGAAAGAAAAGATATCATATCCTGGAGACACAATTACCTCAGACAAATAAAAACATTGAAGAAGAAGGGTTATGTAAACCTTGTTTATACCGATGAGTCTTGGATTAACGTAGCTGCTTTAGTTAAAAAGAAATGGAGTGCTTCAACGATCAAGAATCCACGAGGTGCCTTCATAAAAGTGCTGTCTACGGGACTGAAAGCTCCAACCCAAAGAGTTCTTTGGTTTGTTCTTCTTCATGCTGGAAGCGAAACTGGTTTTGTGCCATGGGCCAAATTAACTTTTTTAGCCAAGAGAGGAATCACTGATTACCATGACGAAATGGACGGGGATCTATATGAAGAATGCTTTGAGAAGACGTTAATTCCAAACTTACCGAAAGACAAAGAAAACGTTGTCGTTTTCGATAACGTGTCATACGACTACAGCAAATTTGATTTCCCGAAAAAATTGTGGAACAAAAGGCAAATCAAAGATTGGCTAATCAAAAAAAGAACATTTTCTTCGAGGAAGATTACTTAAAAAGTGAATTATTGGATACTGTGGCCGCATTTAGAGGCGAGTACGACATGTGCAAAATTGAAACAATTGCTTAAAAATATGGCTTTAAGATTTTGAGACTGCTGCCTTACCATTCCTATAACCTGATTGAGATGGAGTGGAGTCAAATGAAAGGGTATGTGGCTTCAGACAACGTCGATTTTAAAGAAAAAAAACGGAGAAAAGTTGATAAAAGAGACTTATCAGCCTCTAAAAGAAAGTAAAATAAAAAAGTTTTGCGGTGGTAATTTGTAGCAAGATATTGAACCGATGATAATTAATATAGGAGATGATTCAAAGGACCAGTACGATTTAGATATGGATTGCGATTAGCATTAATTAACGAGCAATATCTCTGATTTAATACTTATTTGTTTTTTAGTACTGTACGTACAGTACGTTCCAGTTATAATCTTCTTGTATATTTTATCTATATATATATATATATAATATATATATATATGTGTGCGCCAAGCAATTAATTAGCTAATTAATTAATTAATTAATTAACATTATTTAAATGATATGATTATGATTCTATCACACTTTTTAATTCTCTTATCTCAGGGTTATATTCATGCTTCAATATCTATGCTTTACATGTGAAAGATAAGGTCCAAAGAATACCGGAATAATAAAAAACATATATGATATAACATTATACATTGAAATAAATTAATGAAATAAAATTCACACTCAAATGTTTTCAATAAACAGTATCTCATATAATGATTCTCAAAATTTTGTTCTACGTACGTGAATCTTCAAAATTAATGGTACACACAATATTAGTTAAAATCTCAAAATCCCAATTATTATTCTAAATCTCCTAATCACAATATTTATATCTTTTCTAAAGTAATTGTAAAAATTGTGTTATCAATAAAAGAAAAACTGCAGAAAAAACAAAACTATCTCTCTCTGATGATGAGTGGTCCAAATTCTTTTTCCTTGTAGCCTATACTATCTATTCTTAGCAGCTCCCTAGGTAATCAGCAATCTTACAACAAATTGTTGCAAGTTTATCGTCCTTAATGATCTTCTTCAAATGCACGAATCGTTCAAATTATGCTAGCCTCTTCTCCTCTCGATTAACTGAATCTCTCGTTGGCCTGAGTGAAAAGTGACTCTTGGAATATCTTCTCTTTACGATAAACTGAATCTCTCGTTGGCTGAACAGTGACTCTTGGAATATAAGTAGAAAAATATGACTTACAATCTTTTACTGGATCAGCTTCTGTCAGATACACCAACTACACGAAAACTCACAAACTTTCACTGCTACTGCTTCCTACTACTGGGAAACTACCCGAGAACAACGGCCGTTCGCCTTGCACCCTTGGAAACCAACTGCCTGTATTTTTTTTCTTCAAAAACTAACTAAAGTCTCATTCTCAAACCAACCATCCCACCTTTTTTAATCTCATCCAATCAAAACGCGTCATACATCTCCCATTTCTTCATTTCGATAACACAAACAAATTTTTTACCTACAATTATAAAATTTCCGAACATTATTTACAAACTAATCTTTTTCTATCAATTCTTATGAACTAACAAAAACATATCTTTTTAAAATCTATTCTATTGTCCTAATTACTGCATAAATTTATTTGGAAAACCCGCTGCCATTGTCTAATATTTCACTTAAGCTCCTCACGTCACTCAAATATATTTTAACAAAGAAAATAATTTATGCATATCTTACGTTTTGTTCAATATAGTTAATCCAAAGATCAAGGACTTTCATTCTTCGAAATGTTTGTAGTTTATTATTCGACTTATCTGAATTATTTTAATTTTTTGAACTTTGAAATATTTTAAGCAAACCAATATTTTTCTCGATTTTACATATAACAATATATATATATATATATATATATATATATATATATATATATATATATATAGATATTTTATGTATACAGGCATTTTTTATAGAATTAATTTGTTTTTTTGTTTATTCTTTTATTTAACTTAGGTAAATTAATGAGTAAAGATTTTTGAAATGAAGCGCGTACGGTCCTGATTTCTCAGTCTACCATCAAACTACCACACACCTACCACTAGTTAGGCATTCTAACTATGACTTCCACTATAGTGTATAGCTTAATGGGCTTTGCCAATTTACCATTTGATATTTGTTCTCAAAATACAACAATGGTGATCAATCATTTTTTTTTGTTTTCCTGTACAGACTTATGAAATACTAATTAAAAAATAGTTTGTACAGTAGTACAGTAGATATACGCTAATAATACCGAAATATAAATACTTCTTCTTTACTTTTTTTTAGGATTACGATATGTTTGACGAAGCAAACGAGTTGGGAGAATTAAAATCATTCCTGAAAATCGAAGAATTCAAAACTGAAGAGAGCAGTGACGTTATTGCACCTGAAGATGTAATATTAGTTTCCAACAAAGAAATAGAACTGATAGAGTAGCTAATATTCTTTAAGAAGTATTGTACTGATTTTTTTATATATGACAAAAAGTTTATTTCGACCCTAAAGATATTTTAAAATGTGATACTTTGCATTGACTTTTGTATTAATAAGTAAAAATTTGAATAAAACTATATAAAGTAAAAAATGGATTTGGATTCTTATTGCGTGTTTTTGAACTTTAAATTACAATTCATAGGTATAGGTATTGGAAAGTGTTGAACCTTGAACCAAATGTACCTTGGACCAATTGACATTTTGCGTATTTGTAAGGATCTGTGTGATTTCGCATTATTTCAGTTTCGTAGTGGTTCCAAGAGATTTCGTCACATCATGTTGTTGTTGGAATAAGGACCATACTGTTTCACTGTAGGCAGGTCTTCATATTTTTTTATTAGGTGTGTTAGTAAAAATTTTTATTTTAAGTTTTTAAGTGTTATTGGATTTTCTGTTAACATTGGGTAACAGTTCCTGTGTAGGTAAGTTTTTTGTATATTCTTCTTTTAAATGCAGTACTGACCGAATTTTTAAAGATAATCTAAAACACAATATGAACTAATGTACCTTGGTCCAATAAAATAAATGTACCTTGGATTGATCTAAGGTACATGCTCTCGTTGTTAGACAAACTACGGCTCTAAAAATAAAATATTTTTTTGTTTTTAGAAAATGCCTCGAAGCAAGATGGGAATCAAACGTCCTGCAGTTATACTAGAAAACCTAAAATCGCTGTGAAATATGTTCTTACACGGCATCTTTCCATATGTCAAGCTGTAAAGAAAGTAATATTTCAAAAACCACTTTGCTTAGGCATTTAAAGATTCATCAAACTTCACAAGAAAAAACTTTTAATTATAAAAGTAAAATTGCACCTAGGTGAATATTCACAGAAGTGAGGAAGATCTTGTTGAAGATTATATAAAAACGGCGAACAAGTTACATTATGGCCTACCAAAGAAAGAACTTTAAAAACACCAGGCTGAAACTCTCTGTCTGAAAAAGTGTGTGCTCAAACACTCAGCTGTCGATTTGGCAAAATAAATTTTGTTCTCCTCGCCGGCTGAGCATCCGAGTAGGGTCCGGCCACTGAGTCCATGTATGCCGCACATGGTCTCGGTGCTAGGAATTCGTGATAGGATCAGCATTCGAACTGCCTGAAGGGCCTATGCCTGTCGGCTGGTATAAAAGGCCTGCCGAGCCTTTTATACATTTTAATTGGGTTTTTTAAATTTTGGACGAAACAGCATATGACATTCGGTGTTGTATAAAAGACATGGTTTTGTTTAGACAATGAGCGGATTTTTTTGTTTTTTCCTTAATTACTACTACTAATCTAACTTAACAATGGAGTGTGCATTCCCAGGTGTATATTGCCCTCACACACCCCGGTATCCTATGTGTCTTATATACTATCGTTTTAGTGTCGCCAGACTGTGACCGAACTGCTGCAGCCATCCAAACTCATCCAACCATCCCTTGATTGATTGCTGCAGTTCTGTGTCATTTTTTTTGTGCTCACTATCTAAACTACGTCAACTTGACTATTCTGTGACTATCTCTTATTTCTTCATTTTTATTCTTCTTCCCTATATCCAGTTAATTGTTGTTTTGACAGTCTGAGCACCGTTCTTGTGTTAGTGTCGTAACCTTAGCCTCTTAATATCGTATTGGTGTGGTTCCTGAGTCCGTTGAAGATGTCGTAGGCTCTTTCACCCATTGTCCTTAGGATTTTTTTCTGGCCAGAGTTTCTAAATACGTATTTTAATGGTAAGTATTTTGGTATATTTAATGACTTTCTGATGATCCAATTATGGGCTAGTTGGACTTTCTTTCTATTACTTTTGCATGTATGTCCCCATGCGGCAGATGCATAAGTTAGTGAGGGTAGTATTATGCTGTTAGCTACTCTCATAAGTTATAAAAATATATATAAAAATAATAATTCAAACTATCAAAAAGTATCAAAAACTAAACGAGGAAAAACAAAGCGAGAAAAAAATTATATCAACTTAATAGCAAAAAAAGAAGAAACAATGATAATTAAAATAGCTAAATATAGAGCAAAGAGTTTTAATCCGATTAAATGTATCTAGTTGTTTACCCAAAGGATGTGGAAAAGGGATGAAAAAGTACCTTCTGATGTAATATCTTCTAATAAAAAATATCTTCTAATTTATTAAAAGAATGTCTTGACAGAATAGTAAATAACGGAGACAGTAACAGCAATAGTAACCAAAATAACAAACGAGAAAGTGTTTCAAGCACTTCAAAAAATAAAGAAATGTAGCGAGATTAAAGAAAACGAGCGGTTGGAATTTATATAAATATATTTAATTATAACTTTACAGTTCGGTATTCTCTTATCAACTAACTTACTCCTAAGGTCGTTACATATATATACCTAAGTTACTATGTTCTAGAAAGTTCCCACCTCTAATTCGCGCACGTGACCGATTGTTCTCTTGCCTTCGAGAGATCTGGTGATGATTCTGGAAGCCGTTTCAAGATGCAACCGTTATATGAGTCATGCCGAAAGCATGTTCGTAACAGAAAGAAAAAGCAATTGGACCAGATGATCAAATAATTAGCTTTATGTCAGGCAGATCACAACAGATGCAATTTGCATGCAAATGATTATATGGTATTCATTGATTTTGAGGAAGCATATGACAGACTTCCTAGAGAGATTCTGTGATTCTGTGGTGGACACTCAACAAGAAAGGAGTCATCGGTGAATATGTACAGGTTGTGAGAGACATGTATAAGAAAGTTGTATCAACTAGTATTAGAACAGGTGTTGGAGAAACTGATAAATTTCATGTGAAAGTGTAATTGCACCAAGACTCGGTGCTTAGTTTTAATTTATGTATCAATCGGCTATAGATATAAATGGTCTTTTTTAAATCTTATCTATCTAAATATAAAGAAGAATCTTCTTAAAATTCAAATTATTTGTATTATGGATAACCTTCAGTCAATTTTCAACATATTATTCATTAGGATCCTATCAAAACCAAGATTTAAAAAACTTAATTTGAATGTCTTCAATACATGTCTTCTTTCATTATGAATATGACATAAGTCAATGACATATGTGACATATACGACAAACTACAAAAATGACATATGTCAATTGTCATCTTTAAAGAACCATTTAATCGAATTGGCATTCGATTTTGCTCATTCTATCTGCTGTTTTAACTCCAATAAATGGTCAGGTTCTGACACCCGTACCATAACCAAATTTTTTAATGTGTTGTTGTGTTGTGTTGAAGTCCAGTGTTAAGTCCTTTTTGTATTTTTTTCATTGATAAAAAAAAACTGTAATTTTCTTACATATACATTATTTATTTACATCATTGTTCTCTTGTAGCGTAGCCCTGAAGATGGCTTTGTAAGCCGAAAGCACTCACCTAGAAATTAAAATTGTTTACACACTTCAAAAATACTTTCCTTCTCCATCTTTTGATTTGTCATAATTGTGTACAAAAACATATCAGTCCTTTCATTTATTCAAAAATGACTCGATCGGCAGAAAAAGTATATTTTTGTTTCATCGACTACCATAAGGTTTTTGATAGAGTCCTATATCAAAAATTGTTGTATAAACTACAGAAAATGAAACGAGGTGGAAAATATCTCCGCATAATTTAAAACCTATAGCTGCAACCTATAGCATATTTCTGCAGCTGCGGGCTACAGAAATTGTTTCTACATGTAAAACATCCTTGAGTTAAATGTAGAAAAAATTGTGCTTTGAATTTAAAAAAGATGAGCACCCAGGAGCTTTAATTGAAAAAACTCATATTGCAGCACAACGAGCGTGTTTCTTACGTAAATACATGGAAAAGAGAAAAAATACATATCCACGAGAAGTTGTATTTTTAGACGAAACGAGGATTTTTCTAAGGAAGTAAAATGATGTTGTGGCAGGATGATACCAGCAGAAGTGTACGCCAACCAGGCTGGGTATTAAAATAAATACCATGAGATGTCTAGAAGCCTTTGAAACGTGGCTTTATCGCAGAATGCTTAGCATATCTTGGACATAACACATTAGGAATCAAACAGTAATAAACACAATAAATAGAGAGTTAGAACTTATAACAAGGATTAAGAAAAGAGAAACCTCGTCCCTAGGCCACATAATGAGAAATGACAAATATAATCTGATACTAATAATCACTCAAGAGAAGATGACTGAAGTGTAGTAGACAGAATAACAGAATATATTAGAACTATTAGATTAGAATAGAATTTCTGGAATAAAAATATGCTTTATTGTCACTGAAAATTGTACAATTTTATGAACAAAGCTTACAAAAAGTAAAAAAACAATACCAATAATAATTAAAATTTACTAAAATTACATAAATCATCAATATCACAAAATAAAATATACAATTCATTGCAAAATTTTACTAAATTGCAAATTGCACAATAAAACCTTGCGAACTAGTTTACGAATAAGTTTAAGCTGCTGTATATGATACCCAAATATATAAAAATACTTTGTTGCTTGTATCTAAACGTACTGTAATTTCTTAGTTATTCGTTAAGAAACTCTTCCACTAAATACTATGATCTTTAAAATCTATAGGCTTTTGTCAATTTACGGAACTTAAGGAAAGAATTTGTAGATTTAAGTTGCAAAGGGAGATGGTTGTATATTTTTTTGCCAAATATAATATAGATTTCTTTACTAATTTAGTGGACGGGATCGGTAAATACCAGAGATATATCAGAGAGAGGACATGACATACGTTGAAGTAGATGGGTTCACTTCCACCATATTGGATTGTACATTCTGTCAAATATAAGTTATCACACTAAAATTCCACGAGGAAACTAAGTTCCTGTAGCTGGCTGTATACCATATATCACAAAAAATTGTTAAAATCCTTTATAAAAGGTGTATAAAAATGCCCCAAACGGGCTATCACAAACACATTGCAAAACGTTTTCGGATTAAACAATCCATCATCAGTGCAAACGGTTGCACATGCTAGTAGCCACCAAAATATATGGGTCAAAACCCTTTAAATGTTTTAAATTTGTAGTTGTTTTACATTATTAGTATTTATAATTTGTGGTGTTTAAGTTACCGTTGGATAGGTAACATGGCGGCGTATGACTCTACAT